CGATTAATAGCTACACACGAATACAAAAGGCGAAATTATCACTTAGAATTTTAATTTGTCCCTTTGTTTTCTTACGTAATCTTTTATTATTCTTTTCATCTTCACATAGGAGTTCTATCTATGTAAGGCCAGCATGAGTTGTTAATTCCAGAACTAATTATTAAGATAGTGATAGCTACTACTAGAGTAATCACCTATCTAGTCTTTTAAAATGCGTATGTAATTTTGCAAATTGTATATTTCTTTTAAAGATGAAAATATATTAATTTTACAACAATTATTATTGCAACTTGACATTACGATAACAATTAACTGTGTCTTTCACAAAGACATTATTCGTTGAAATAAAGATACATTTATGTCAATTTATCAATAACAGAAGGAAAAAGAATTGATTGTAATAAAGACTGAACATGATATATTTTGGGATATTTTCTCTCTTATGTCTACTTTACAAGTTTCATTTTTAATTAATTGTGTTGTGTTGTGTGGTTGCTTTCATTGATGGGGAGCCAGAACGTGATAGACATTCCGACGCAGCTAGAATATTTCAGAGAGTACAAGAGAAAATTGGAAAGTAAAATGGGAAAACAAAAAATGGAAAAACATATAGAAGAGGCTTTGTTTTGTGTAAGTGCAGGAACCAACGACTTCGTCATTAATTATTTCACAATTCCTGTACGAAGAAAGACTTTCACTGTCGAAGCTTATCAACAATTTGTTATATACAATCTCAAGCAATTTATCCAGGTGAATTCACATACTCTAGTTATTCGTTATATTTTTTCATTGATTATTTTCTATATCTATACGTAATCATATATTCATATCTAGTCCTTTTTGTCTCTAAATATCTAGACGTTTTAAACACAAAGCTAAAACTCTTTTTTACTTTGTTTTGTTTGTTCCAAATTCAGCTTTCTAATCATTTGTACCATTAATGTAAACAAAAATTTCACGATTTAGGAATGATTTAATAATTTTTTGGTTAACTTTTTTTGTATAAAAATTGAAATTCTATAACCGATACTCAATATCTTTTTTCGGTTTGGCACGAATTTAGTAGATCGAGCACTCATCTTAAAATCAGTAAGTCTATCAATATTGTAAATCGACTTAAATAAATAAACTTTGTTATCCATGTTAAACTTTGGCTTCGGCATCGGATTCTTAGAATCTGTTTGTTGACTCTACCTCACTTAGTCACATTGAAAATGATTGGTTCGAGTTGGATTCGGCCGGTTCAATTTGTATAACTTTTTGGATACATTTCTTTTCTTTTATTTTCGGTCAAGTTAGGATACATTTCTTAAATAAACTACTTTTAATATTGATTGGTTAATTAATGGTTAGGTTTTATGGCAAGAAGGAGCAAGGAAGATAACGGTGGCAGGTTTGCCACCAATTGGGTGTTTACCGATTGTTATAACAGTATTTTCCGGCGAAGCTTTGACTAACCGTCGTTGCATTGACCGTTTCTCCACCGTGGCCATAAACTACAATTTCATCTTACAAAAAGAATTGGGCCATATGCAAATGAGTTTGGCCCATCTTGGATCCAAAATCTACTATCTCGACGTTTACAATCCAGTCTATGAGATCATACAAAATCATAAACAATTCGGTAAGTAAAGAACATTTTAAATTAATAATTCTAAGAGACTTATTTAAGGGCTTAATCCGTAAAACTTATTTTCCATATTAATAATGGAATGGAGTCATAGTTTTATTTGGTAAGAGATTTTCTTCTTTTTTTTTTTTTAGGATTCGAGGAAGTGAACAGTGGATGCTGTGGAAGTGGATACTTAGAGGCATCGTTCTTGTGTAATCCAAAGTCATACTTGTGCCCTAATACATCTACTTATGTCTTTTTCGATTCCATCCACCCAAGTGAGAAGACTTACTTCAATCTCTTTAGGTCTCTCCGACCTCTTTATGATTCCATTCTCGGTAGTTTTTGAGAATTTAATTCAATACATATCTCATTGGTCCTATATATCACTGTTAGTGATTAGTTCATTTACATAATTCCATGACTGATGATACGAAATGTAGTCAT